ATTTGATAAGATATGCATATTTGTTCAATTTTTAATAGGCTTATCCTTTCCTAAGATAAACAAAAAACAAACCGCTTCATAAGATGAGCCAATTTTTACAAAAAATATTCTTATTCCTTTTCCGCCGGCAACTGTTTTGTACTGCTGAAGGTGCGCGTTCTACGCTTTGGGAGACATTCTTTAAATTGATTATGACCACTGAATTGTCACGAAGTAATGAGAGTGCATAGGCAAGAATGTACACAGCAAGCAGTAAATCTTTGTTCAAACGAATTTTATTCTTCTTGCTGCACGCTATTATTTTTTAACATTTCGAGGATGAGAGCGAGCAACAGGACGAGGAAGTATGCCAGGATCAATACACAACACGCGCCTGTGAAATAACGCAGTCCACACTGGGGCGTGTGACAGTCGCAAGTTTATATTTTATTAAAAGAGACCACCGCATTTCACAAACATGACGTTCGTATTATTGAATTGAAACCGACTTACCATTCTGTAACCACACACTTATTTCAAATTCAAGTTTCGTGAAATAGGATGTTTATAAGTTTTCAAAAACATGTTTTAGGTTGTAAGATACCTCTTAATCATAAATTTTTATTTACTGATTTAAATATTAATGCCTAGATAGTTGAAAACATTTTTATTAGCGTCTTTAATTGTTAAGTTTATGTTGAATTTTCTGTTAGAAGCATTTTGATGCTGTTGTTAATTTTGTGTTATATATTGGCGGTATGTAGATAGTTTTTGTTTTATATCAACTTTTTCCAATCGAACCTAGATAGACGGTATAAATGGAGATGCCATTGCCACTCCTTTACACAATTTGCCAGTCGGACGCGGGTTGGGCCGTCCACTTCAGCAGTTGTTTCAAGTTTTTCTTTCTAATCTTGACCTCGTCATAATTGTTGTTATTGTGTTCATATATTCTACCTACACAGTACTTTTTCGATAGGATGGTTTTTTCAATCGAAACAACTGTGACCAAAGAGGTCCAAGCTTTTCGTTATTTTTTCGCCTAAGTAATTTTTAATGTACATAACAAAGGACAATTTTTGCGTATTTGTGTACGTCTTCGTGCATTCTGTAGATTGTTCCACAAGACGTAGTAAAGATTTAAAATTTTTCCTTCATCTTCCTATCTACCCGACAATGTGTCTCATATTAGCTAGCCAAAGCTATCATAACTCAAAATCTCTGTCATGTTTCCATTTGTAGAAATAATTAGAAACAAATTAATTAAAGTATTTTATTCAAATTAAAATGTATTAAAATAAGAGCCTTCGTTCTCGTTTCGTAAAAAACTTCGTTTAAATAACATTGTTAATTTTAAAATTTTTTTAAGCAGACACTAGGAAGATGCACACATCATTTCTATACAAATAAATGGTAAACGTTTGCTAAGCAGCTACTGGGTGGCACAACCTCCCGAACCTACCACGTTTGTATTTAAAAGTCACAACAACTCAATAAATGAAATAAAGCGTTATTTAAAACTTGCACTTACCGGCCAATTTGAAAAGTGAATTTAACGTTTTAAAATCTAGTCTCTTAACACAACTCGTCGTTTTTTAAGGTTAGGTATTCGTTTAACAATCACGTGACTATTAATGTAGTACCGATATTGGAATAACTTATAATAAGAAAAATTAAAACTTTGTTAAAATTTGAAAAAAATTAATATAAATTAAAAAAATGTTGCGGCCGAGAAGACGAGGCCACACAAAACTGGGATAATATTTTAAAATTAAATAATTATTTCAGAGATATCACTTGAGAAGAGCACATGCCATCCTGTTCTATAGAAAGCTCAATTTGAATAACATTGTTGCTCTGAAAAATATTACACAGACTCTTGTAAAATAGAAAGCTTTTTCAAAATCGATAAAGCCGTGCGGATCCAGTTAGAATTTTTTATAAATTTAAGTTGTCTCTAAGCAGATGTTGACAGACAATGTTGTTTTAGTTTTAAAACAGTTTCCCAGATGGAGTAGGACTTGAAAGGATGGTTAAGTTTGCGTTTTAACAATTCCATATATATTTACAAGATCATAGTGTACTAGTTTTTTTTCTCAATTTTGTGAGCATGTTTACTGATAATTTCGCTTCGGTTCATCTACTAAAGGCTTTTGAATGCTTTAAAACTTGTTGTAATCTTATTATGTCATATCTCACTGCTATATAATTATTTTTCTTTATTGAAACAAATGAAGTTTGAAATAATTAAATAGAAGATTGTTCTATAATATTTAAACAAATATTTTAATTTCTCGTAGATGTTATATTTGAGCAACGGATTTTTAAATTATCACAAGTCATTATTAATCAAACTTTGCTTCCTTGCTCTTAGATGTTAAATATGTTTAAATTTTTTTAAATATCAATTTGCATATATTAATTTCATGATAAATCCAGAAAACATTGATAGTGAATTGATAGTACATTTTAAAATACTTCAATGTGGACTTCCAAGGGAAACTTTTTTTATGCCATTTTTATTGTCCTCTACAAAAAACGTTATAAACAAAATTAAGATCTTCTCGGATGCAGATGAATTGTGGTCCCCTAACATAAATCTCTTATTATGTAGGCCATAGCATGAAATAAAACATGACAAAGCAAGGTTGAAATTTTCATGAACAGATAGATCAAATAAATTGTTACTCCGATTAAAAAATAGTGTCATACAAATCGTTTGCAAAAATTCGGTGAATTATACGCGTGATATAAATGCACACCAAGCAGACGTTTGTAAACCATAATTCATATTAATGCATGCAAAGATGAATATCTACCAACGATAAAATGTTAGCTGCTAGCAGCTAACTTTTTAGCTTTTATCACACCAAGCAGACGTTTGTAAACCATAATTCATATTAATGCATGCAAAGATGAGTATCTACCAACGATAAAAAGTTAGCTGCTAGCTAATTTTTCAGTAGTAGTTAAGAAATATTAATAACCAATTTATTCAATGTTATTAACTACTTTTTCAAAAGTAGAGATATACTAACTGCTATAGCTAACTATTTTTATAGCTCCGATTAAAATCTTTTTATGAAATTTTTAAAATAATTGTTTGTTTTATATCTTACATAATTAAACGCTCAACTTCTTCTTATCACCTAAAAGATGACAGCAAAATGAAAGACAAAAGTTTTTATTTAAGAAGTTGAACTTTTTTACAACCGAGGTTTCTCGGACGGTAGTGCTCTTTGCTAATCATCGTACACACGCTGGAACGTTACTTGGTAGTTAAGCAGTAACCTTCCGTTCGATTTATTCAAATTTATTGTGATTTATTCCAATTTGGCTGGCCTATTTATTTTTTAATATTTGATACTTAGTTTTATTTGATATATTTTTTCGTTGCATTAAGAAGATTAGAACATTTGATGTCTTATCACAGCACTCCAAGTTTATAATCAAATTCTACTGCCATCACGACTCCATTAACTATTAATGCTAAAAATAATTGAAAAGTAGTAACTACCTACCTGTTTTAAATAGTTAACTCACTTTTTAAGCAGTTAACTCATCACTGACTGAATACATGCATATATTCACACACAGGTAATAAGCATCGCAAACTCAAACGAGACAAATACACGTACACTTACAAACTCACACATGCTCGCACGCACACGCACGATTACACACACATCCACTCACGCACATACACACACATCAATACACGCACACACACACATCATTACACGCACACACATACACACACTTATCGATTAACATGTTACTCTTTTGTTGTGTATATTTGTGTATATTTTGTGTGTGTCAACATTTTTTTTAATCCCAGACTACATTAGAGATAATTTTTTGTAAACTTCAAAATTAGTCTGGCGACCATATTTTATATAAAATGGTGCTTTATCTTGGCAAAAACTGAGTTTTACTGACTTTTGATACAAATACCGCCACTGGTTGCATCAATCACATTTTATGCCATTTGTAACATAGTGTGGACTAATTTGGACTATGAAATATTTCTCATTTACTAAATCTATTGAAATACTGATTGAAAGAGCTATGCAAAATATCGCAAATTTAAATCGATCGTCTCACTCCACATCGTTATTTGCACGTACGAAAAACTTGAACAGCTGAAAACTAAGGATTTAATTAGTAAAGCAATTTGTATATACACATATAACAAACATACTAACAAATATTTTTCCTATTCAACTAAAATTTAAATCTACGCTCAAGAAATCCATTCCCGTGTAATTCACTCAGGACCAAATATCCGGGATGCAATCATCAACTGTCAATTTGTCTTCAATCTACATCTTCAATAAAGTGAAAACTTTCCAACTGGCGAACGATGTATGACTGATTGCAAGAAATTTAATACATTAATGAATCAAATTTGTTTGCGATAAAATTTCTGAAACACAAGTTCAGTAAATCATTTTTTTTTGTTTCAAACATATTTCAAGTGCTTTATGCGGTTCTAGTCATCTCGGAGCCCTCTTTATTTAGTGCAACATATTTTCGATCGAACAATAACGTAATCTGATTGGAAAACAACTGCGTGCATATGTGTATGCGTGATGAACATATTTTAATTTTGTATTAATGTTTGTTTGTATGTTCGTATAAATCAAAAATGATTAAAACTGTGCAAGCGTTCGCGTTACAGAAGTCAATTTTTAATTCTCCCGCCATTTAATTTCTTGTTTCGTTTGAAGGAATAAATTAATTATTTTTAAATTTGTATCTGTGTGTGTTTGTGAATTATTTAAATTTGAATATAAATAAACTTAAAGTTAAAACATTCGTAAAGAAGAAAGCTGAATAGGCATGGTCATGCAAGCCGCATAGCATGGGACCAGTTGGCAGTTCAACGGTGCAACGTACTTTCATTTGAAATTCTAGTTGAAACCCATTTTAATTCTTAGCTAAAGAGCTCGTTGTAATAAAACTAATTTTTTTAAATTTTCGTTATGAAATTAATCGGCAAAATTTTTAAAATCAAAAACATGTACGATAACGTATGCAATTTTTATTTTGAAACTCTTTTGTTTTGTATGACGCGAACACCTAGACGCTACATAATTTCATAATTTCATAAAAAATGCATTTTAATGTAATGCAATGGCACCGTAATGTAATGCAACAAAAAACTTAAAATAATGGCACCCAATTTTGAATGAAATGTGATTCATTTTTGAAAGTTTTATTAAAATTTTTTCATTTCGAGTTTAGCGTATCATTCACTTGAATAATAAAGTAATTAATTAATTAATATAAAATTTTGAGATTGAAATAGCTTATTTTATTGATTGGCAGGCTGGTGAAGACACTCCGGCATACAAAGAGGATTCTCATGTTGAGTACGACTTTGACGAGCAAGTTGATATTTACAAAGCTGATGAAATCCATGGCTATGAACAATATATTTATGTACGCTTCTTTTTATACGTCTGTACTTTTATTGTCTTGTACATTTTAGTCTGCGTACACGCACAGAAATTTATTAAACTGGCTTGCTTGAAGAGTGATAGTACTAAGAAGGAGGATGACGACGTTGAAGGCAACTGTGGCAACAGAATCATACGTAGCAACGTCAGTCAGAAGAGCATCATGTTTAAGAAAAACAACCACAATAATTTTCCCGGGACATCTAAAAATATTTTGATTGATGGCCGAGCAGTAATCGTTAATCGACAGGCAAACAAATTCATCCCTCTTGAAAACATTTACAATTACGAAAGCATTTTGAATGTTGCTAACACTGAAAATTTAAATACACTGACATTGGAGAATTGTTTGAATACAACTAATTTTAAATTATATTTTAATATTGGCAGACGCAAATTCAACATGTTAGTTTTAAATAATTTTAAAATATTAATCCTGGTAATAAATGAATATACAAAATTGAGGTGGACTGCGCACGATGTGGGGGACGATTGCAACACGGACAACAGGAACGGCGACTTCGAAACTCAAAAAATTGATAATCATGACAACAACATAAAAGTGATTGGCAGCAGCATGAACATAAATGACATCAACATCAGAGATGAGAAGATGAAGACCGACGTCAGCAAGAAGCAAACGAGCACTATTGATTTCAAGCAAAACGTTTGCAACATTGAGAACGAGAGCTTTCAAAGTTTTATTAACATGAACATCAAAATAAGCGACACCATCACTCAGACGAGCAACAGTGAAGAACGTACAACAAGGAACGACAACAACAACAACGACCTATTCAGCCTCAACATTGAAATATTTAACAAAACTAGCGAAATAAATTTCAACAAAACGTTGCTTCTAACAAGATTAATTATTATCTTTAAACAAAAATTAACCATTACTTTTCAATATACACTTATTTCAATAACAATTACACCAAAACTCATGCAACAAAAAAACGATGGTAACTTCAAAAAAATCCTGTCTGACAACGAAGGCAGCATCAAATGTTTGGAGCATATCAGCAGCGACCCCACCAAGCAGTCATCTGGTTACGACAATAGCGACTGTGAAGGTTTCAACGCATGTGACCACCACTCTCCAAGCGATTCAGCTGTAAAGGTTGCACTCGATATGCTATTCAATGATATTTTTAAAATTTTGTGGAATTTTTAAAATTTTGTTGAATCATAAATGTATTAAATTCTGAACGCTTTCACTATTCACGTTTTAATACTTCATTGACTTGATTAATAACTCAGAAACTTTTAGTTATTTTCAATCTTGAGTTAAGCAGTTGATTGTTATCTAATATTAACTTTAATAATTCAAACCGTTAGTTGGACGGTTAACTTGACACTCAATCACTAATTTTGAAACTTCATATCATCATATCGATGCTCCAACATTCAATCCGTACAAACAAAATGAACGTATAGTTTTGTTTTACTTTCTGATATTTTTTTGGTTAAATTTTTTAAACTGCAATTATGTTCAAGTATTTGATGAATGATTCATGTGAACATTGAATAAAAACATTCATGTCATCTAATGGAGGTATGAAGAGTTGCTCTCATGAGGCTACTTAGTGAAGGTTGCATGCTGTTGCCGTCCATCCTTAAATGTTTCATCGTGCTTTTTCTCCTTTTCCCCACCAATTAATGCAAACAAGCTATATAAACTGAACAAGAATTGTCTACCCTATTTGACAAAATCATCATTTTTATCTTTTAAATCAACTTTTTAATTTTCATTTTATTCAGATTGTTTTTTAAATTTTGAGCACTTGACTTTGTCTAAAACTGGCTCTATTATTAAGCCTTTTTCGGATAACCGTATCCAACAAATAAAATTGAAGTCCATAAATGATTAGTTAAGTATTTGCGATGTTTTGCAACTGGGTTGGCCCGGGTGACCAGTCAAAAGCAATCAAAATCTGCAGATCGTCAAAATAATAAAATGCTTCTGAAAATGAATTTTAAATATTTAATTCTTTAAAATATACGCTTGATAAGGATGGATGAACTTCGACCGGGAAGTTGGTCGGAGTTGACGACCGAATCGGGAAATCTGCCTGCTGTCCTCTACGCAAAAAAAAATCAAGTCGAATATTGGTCCATTTTTATGCTTCCATTTTAATAGAGTGCCATTTATTGAAAAAATTCAGTGCTGTTTGTGTTTCTAATTTTCATGTCATGTAAAAATGTTTGATAATGGGTAAATTAATGTCAATGAACTGAAAGAAACGGAAAGGAGTTGGAAGGAACGTGAAGGAATGGGAATGTTTTTTGAGAATAAGACAAAAATTAAAAATTGTTACTGAAGAACATGCTGTAGGTGGAAAAATAGGGATTATTTGGAGTAATGAGGATGTGGAACGAATTAACTTAATATATCGACTTCTAACTACAATGAATGCGTGACGGCATTGCTGCCCTCGCTTCCAGTAAAGTTTATAATGGGAAAAAACGACAAACATACAAACATGCTTCTAACATCTTGCGAAGAATGAACAATTTACTTTTCATTCAAGTTTAAATCATAACAAATAATTTTCAATTATTTGAAATTTTTGAAGTAAAATAAAACAAACTTTCATTTTTATTCTTCTTTATTAGAATCAAAAGCTCTCTCATTTTGCACTCCTGATTTGGCGACAGAGACAAATTTATTCTTCCATCAACATCTCTATCGAATCATTTCGTTTTTCCCAGCAATCACATTTCAAGCACAACGCAATCATGCAACCAGCGCTCACTCCACGCCATTCACATCAAACAAACACTTTCGCAGCTTTTCCGACTAAACTCTAGCAAAATCATTTTTACTTTCACTGGCAAAAAAAACAAAGTCATGCAAAAATTTTGTAAACTTCACGCTGAACTTTTTCTGAAAAACTTGAGTTAAAACATAAAAATGCCGAAACCTATTATGGTGTGAACTGTCTTGCATACAGTTGATCAAAAAACCACCGTGTTTTCTACATTATTAGACACACACCTACTGCTTGTGTTGTAGTTTGAAGTTTCTTAGATTTCCTAACCACATATCTTTGTCGAGTTTATTGCTGGCAACAATTTTTTAATCGCTGTCCTGCGGTTTGCTTTTTTCATTATTTACATCAGAGGGTAGATGTTGGTTAATTTACTTTTAACATGATTGTTACTAGGTAGAAAAATGAAATTAACATAACATTAAAATGACATAGGACCGATCATTTATTTAATAAAGCAGAATTGTTGAATTTTATCTCTGGCGATTGTTATTAAAAAGGAATACACAACATGAACCTGGTTATAAATTCACTGCGTATATAGGCTAAAATTTTGAAAAATTCGCATGCCTTTATACAAAATAATTATAAAACCATCAGTTATTAATAAGATTTAATGAATATTTGACAGGGCTGCTTATACATTTTAACATTCAATGTTCAACAACATCATCAGCATAAGCAACATCAACCACATTAGCATAGAAAACATCAACATAATGAACAACATCAACATAATCGCTCTGGCTATTATTATCGCATCCTCGCCACCATCATTGCGAGTGTAGGCAGTAGGATTATCATGCAGCACCATCACATACCTCATTCATTCACGGCCAAAATCACGCAGGACAGAAAATGTCATTGCTTCATATCGAGACATCAAACATACACGCAAACAAACATTTGCTCAGGCATACACACCAGCATGTCAAAATATTCATATACAAACATCCATAGAAACACAAAGACAAACGTATACCCGTTATAGTCATAAACAAACATTCTCATATACAGCACTGAATGCATTTCGTTAGTGCATCTTTCATACAGTTTTTCAGAGTTCTCCTCATTATCCAAGCTAAAACGAGAAATTTTTAACAACTTGCACCATACAGCTTCTAAAGATATTCACGAACGTTAAACTATTGCTGCAAAGAACAAAAAAAAACAACAAAGTACATGAAAGACTCAATCCATTCAAGCATCATTACAGTTTCTAGTTTGCCAAACTATTAAGTTGGAGTTAAACTGGAGTTGAGAGCTAGGGGATGGTGGTGTGGTGCAGAATTGTGTGAACATGTAAAGTTCACTTTAATTAAAGTTGGTAGCCACCAAACCTTTGCACACCAGTTTTGATTCCAGATTGATTGTTCCGAAACTAGCTTTATGGCTAGGTGGGAATGTTGGATTGTTTAATGAGCCACCGTGCCATTGGTGTGGGTAATCACCAAATATTTGCTCGTTGGAAAACTTTTGATATCACAGGCTGAATCATCTAAACACGCAAGTTTGCGGTGCGTTTTATGATCGGTTTTTCGAAAAAAGACTTTCAGCTTAAAACAACATAACAATCAGACCGTAAGTAAAAAAAGTTTTTTTTAAGTTAATTAACATGTATATTATATAAATACTATTTCACAAACACATTCGGGCAAATGCATAAAAAGTATTTCAAATATATAAATGCATTTGAGATTTTTTGCAATAGGTAATAAATGGTTGACCAAAACATTTCAAAACTAAAAAAAAAACAAAAAGTAGCATGAGAAACGTCATTTGGAAAGAAATAAAATAAGAAATGTATTTGTAGAAAATGAGGATTTGCAATTTGTGTCAAATGTTCACCGGCCAAGTTGCTCGATGAGTTCGCCTAATTGATTTTCTATCGTTGAGCAGCTGTTGGCATGTTCTTTTTCTCTTGCAATTCACAGTTTTAATATTCCAATAATAATTCTTATGCGTAGGTCTGTAATGTGGTAAGCCCCTCCACCAACATTATAACAAACTGTTTTTGCTTTTTTTTTATTTCGAGTTTAATTTATTTAAAAAAACGTTTTTGTAGCATTATTGATGTCGATGTTTATAAATGGCGCCGTGATTGATGTTGTCGCTTAATTTAATGGCTAGTGGATTATTAATTGTTCTTGCATTATCTTGTGCATTTGCTGCAACAGTAAATAATCTCTTCCTCTCTCTCTCTCTCTCTCTCTCCATATCTCTTTTTCTCTCTCTTTTTCATTTCTCCTTTTTGTCTGATAACGATATTTTTAGCATTCCAGAAGAGCTTGTTTTTGATTTGACCTAATGTTAAGGATATTTTCACGAGAGAATATTCTTCTTTAATGTTGTTCTGTTTCTGATAAATGTGTAATAAATTTCGGAAAGAGCATGCAATGTGCTTGTCAATCGATAAATTGATGAGGTCCAACAGTTTTTTATGAGAGCACATAACATCACTGGACTTCAGATTATGCAATCAACTAACGAGATTATTCAACAAATTCCTTCCTCGTTTTAAAATTCAACGTATTCTAAACACGAGAAAACTAAAAATTTTAATTTTTTGTGAAATTTGAAAAATTGTTTTTATTTATATTATTACTTTACTACATTTTTTCAAGTTCTTAACATGCACCTTTCATAAAATTATTATTCAAAGTTTAATTTTGACAAAACTATCGATACTTTGCTTTTTATACAATTATAGTCTGTTGCTGGCTTCACGACGTGCTTGTGTTTAGAAGAAATTAAATGCGGTTTTTTTTGGCTAAACTGAAATGCAAATCGATTTGTCAAAATATAATAAAACGACTTTTTTGTAATTTGGTTTAATTTCCAACCTGCGTAAACTGTGGAAGGACATTCACATGCACTTTGTTGAGTTTCTAGAAGATATATGATGATGGATAGTGCTTGTTGCTTTTGCAGTGCAGAGAAACGATTAATTTGTGATGGTTTATTTTGGAAACAATTTAGCAATTTCGCAGAATAACTCCTGTACTGCAAATAGATGTGTGTAAGTGGTGTGAGAGTGGTGTGTGAGTATGGTGTGTGAGTATGGTGTGTGAGTGATGTGTGTGAGTGTGTGTGTGTGTGTGTGTGATGTGTGTGAGTGGCACGTGAAGATCTTCGAGAACGTCCAATCCAAACGAATATTCACCTTCATTTACATAAAATTCGTGATAGAACAAAACTGAAGTTAATATTTTTAAAGAATGTTCTGGTAGGTGAATGCACTGAAATGCATGCGAACGAAGTAGGAGGGTCTGCTTGTGATAGTCGAAATAATGCACAATCCTGATGAATGACAATATAATAAACAATGTGACTCTCTCCTACATGCTCAATCGCTGGTCTTTCATTAATATTCTTTTTTCATACAACGCTATCTCGTACAGAACTGTAGGATTTTATTAATTTGATAATAAATATTGCGCGAAGCAAAAAGAGTTTACTTGCATTGCCCAGTAACTTCATTGTAATCATGTTTCCGAAGTTTCTTCGTTTTTAAACTTTGCATAATTTGCATCAACAGTTATTTTTAAATTTCTATTGCAGTTTTTTAGACTTATTTCTGAATAACAACATTTTTTGCAGTATAAATGTAAGTAGTTATATAATTGAAATTATGAGAGTTGAGTCGGAACGAAGCTATTACAAGATTGTGCAGCACGGCAAAACGCTGAAGCACGATTTCGAATCGTGTCCATGCACTGCAGAGCAAGCACAATTATGCTTGCCTCCGTGCAAAAGTCAGTTCCTACAAGCGGACTTTGAAAAGATGTTTGTTGACAAGATTTATATCTTTTCAAGAGACATTTCAATAGTCCCTTGTTCCGCTCAAGAATCTTTCAATGCATTTATCAATAGAATAAGAAGAAACATGGAGCCCGGTGGTGGTTATGCTATTTATAACTTCCAAGTAAGTACTGTTCTACTTTACAGAAATGTATTTCCAACCGACCTATGCAAAATTATATGTTATATGTTCACATGTTCACAACTATGCAAACATTGTATTCAATCGTTTAACTAAATTTAAAATAAATTTTACGATAATTGATATTCTTTGTTTATTTTTATGATTGTGTTGTTTTATTTTGTTTTTAATGACCAAAATGAAGAAGTTCAGACTAAACTAATTAAATTTTTAAATATTTGAGTGAATAAATTCTTAACCAATCAGTTTTGTTAAATAAATTTTGTTCTAAAAATCCTGAATATCATTGTTCATCTCCATCCGTTTTTACGTTGTAGAACCAATTGATGAAAAATTTGAATTTTATTTTAATATATTTTCTTAAGAAATCAGTTTGGAAGAATCTTTTGATGTCAAAAAACCATTGAAGCTTAACTTAGAAATGTAGAAATAAAAAAATTAATTAATTAATTAGTTAAATAATAATTTGATGAGTCGGAGAGATGTTGACCAATCGTTATTTGCTGAGATGGTGGCAGAATGTTTCACTTTTAAATTTTCCACCCAAAATTTCCTTCTAGTACCTTATCATTATATTGTACCTCACAGGCCCGGAACTAGGAGGGCAAAGGGGGCAAGCGGGCGGCAAATTTTGAAAACTTTTAAAAAATTAAAAGTAGTTATTCGCATTTTAATAAAAAAACATGTAGTATGTAATTTAAAAAACTGCATTTAAACAACAGCTCACGGTGGTAGCGATGGTGATAGGGGGTGGCAGACTGAGTTCTGCCCCCGCCCTGGCAAATACGCCAGTTCCGATTCTGGTACCTCGTTCAAAACGAAGCTTGATACGAACATTTAAACTATGTATTTTATTTTATATTAAGATAAATTTATTGACAAATAAAAATATTGTTAGTTGACACCGTTTAAAATTATCTCGTCATATCTAATACAAGATATCTTCGTGGGAGTCTGAATCAAAAAGTTTTCAGACAAGTGTGTTCATGAAGCCTTGAACGCACATAAAAGCCATAAAATGTTTGAATGATAATAATTTGCACGAACCAAAAACTCCAAAGTTGCCACAATGTCTTTATATTTCCTTTTATATTTCGCCAACGCCATAGTATATCGAGATATAATTTTATAATGAATTTTTAGGCAACTCTTTTATTAGAAAAGAATCGAAAATATGTTTAAAAAATCGTTGTTCCGCGCGCACGGTTGCTTCGATGCGCTCAATTAGTAGCAAACAATGCCTTCTGAACTGGTCAATAACGACACAACTGCTTCTGATACGCTCAACATACGTTTAAAGAAGAGTACAAGATGGACAGGACAGGACATACGTTTAGAGAACGTACGCTTAACAAGGCGTACACACACAAAACAAAAATTCACTTTGCGTGTACAATCTTGCCACAATTAAATTTATTTTAAATAAATGACGGGCTTTTACGTTCGGATGAGATGGTGACAGTACAAATTAAAAATGACACGCGCTAAGGTTAATCTGCCATTTGCTCTAATTTGCTGACCAAATTAAATCAACCCCGCTAACAAATATTGCCACGAACTGCGCTTATTCTTCGCCATAAAAAATCTCAATGCTACTCATTATGAAATCACCAACGTTCTGACGCCAACAAAGTTTTTACTTTTTCAATTTACTTTAAAAATCAATATTAAAATTTTAAAATAAAATGTTCTAGTAAATATAAAAGAAGAAAAAAAAATACAGCTTGTTGCATTTTCATCCCACATGCATGCGAGTGAGTGTAATAGATTGAATGTGTTTTAGCGAAAGAAGAAATATTTCATTTTATTAAAAAGAAACGCCTGTGCCTTGTTTAATTTTGATATTATATATGCTTCGTCAACACCAGTTATGCGATTTGCTTATCGTGTTTCAAAAAAATGAACAAAATATACGCATTGTTGAAAAAGAATTTTAAGATTTTATAAATGTAACTGAAATAATGTTTCTTTGAATTTTCTTAGAGAGTGTAAATTTCTAGCGGCTCAAAAAACAACTAAGACATTTTAATGAACAGCTTCCTTTGAACATGACAAACAAAATTTCACTGCAGACGACAGGTCAAGACGGTTCATCGTCAGTTGATCTCCTCCTACTTCATCTTAAGAGCAGCTTACAAAAATTGAGATTTTCTACATATTTCAAGACCAACATCATTGCCATGCTAGTTATCAACATCGTTTTCATCACAACTCTCACACGAGCTCTCAATGTAGAATCGACGAAGAGTCTTCCGTATCCAAAACTTCTCCGACGTAAGATTTCTAGTTTATTCAAATCATTTCCGTGGCGTCCGCATGCACATTACTAACAATCCAATTATAATTAATTACTCATATTATTAATTTGCATAGTTTTAGTTGAATTTAAGAAGTCGTCAAATTATTCAGATTTTACCAATTCTTATAAGAATTGCTGTCAAGAGCTGCCAATGAACTGTGGAAACGTTTTTAGAAACAGCGGAAAAAGTGGATTCAAAACCAATTATTTTGGTTAGGTGCTTGAAAGTTTTGATAATTTATTTTTGGATGGTTCTGTCTGCAGCTCACTGGTTTGCTGATTTTTGAATGTTGTGGTTTTTTTTATTTGTTTGGTGGTTCATTTTAATAATAGCTCAAAAGTTTAATCATATGACGTCCATAGTTAATCAGGTAAGAAATATTTCAACTTGATGTTAAATTATACCGACAACATGCTATTTTAATAGTGAAGACTTCACACAAAATTAATGAACCATTTCTAAGTGGTTATTCAATAGTAGATGCTATTGTTTTCAATAACTATTATATAATTATGTAGGTTTTATTCAAACGTAAATATATATATATATATATATATAGTTTTTCTTAAAGATTGGGTTGATAGTTATATGCAGCAGTCGCAAATTTAGGATGGGCAGGGAGGACATGGTCCCTCCCCTCTCAGCAATCAACAACCATTTTATTGTAATTTTTTTAATTTTTTTCAAATTTAGCCAACATAAATTGTTCAATTACTTATCAAACTTTACAATACAGTTAGAACACTAAGTAAACAACGTTTTAAATACAATTATTGATGCAAACATTGCACAAAAGCGAAAAAATATCTTCAAATCTCACAAGTTTTTGGCCCTCCCAACAAAGTTGCTTAGATCCTTCTCACAGTTCTTTAATGAAAATTAACAAACACTTTTTATCTGATCTCTCGAAAAAGTGGTTAAATTGATTAGTTCAGTTACTAGTAGTTTTGTACATCTATATACTAGGTATTCAATTGAAGGTCAGCAAACAACATATGTTTGTACTTTATTAAAAAATAATAATATTGTTATTATTGTTATTTATTATTGTTATTAATATTGTTATCATTTATATAATATTTTACTTTAGTGTATTTGTTTTATTTATTTTTATTTATTTCTATATATATTTTCTTTTAGTTTTTGATGTTATAATTGCCCATTGTTGTAACGTTTATTTTGAACAGCAGAAGCATTTTAAAATTGTCAAATTAAATTATTCATACTCAACAAATCTAGTTTGTATTACACTGTATTACGAACATCTCTACATATGTACAAACATTTTAAGGTTGCCCTATTTGAAAATTTATCTGAAATCACCAAATTGTACATTCAGCCGCAATATATATTACAACGATAAATGCTTCTCTTTGGCTGATAAACTTGATTCTGTGTTTTTCAATACTTTTTTTAAACTGCACAAGAGTTAGGTGAACTTAACTTAAGTATAAAATTAGTGAGTTGTGTGAGTTTTGGAAAAGTGGTTGTTGCAAAATGCGACATAAAATTTATTTTGGTACCATTTTTTATAAGCCGCATGCTAATGTTTGTTAGTTGATCATAAAGTTTCCTGTCTCTATCAGCAATCAGTAATCAGCAAAGTACTTTTACAATCCCCGATAGACTCACTACTTCGTAGATATGGCTGGATAAATCTTTGATTATAGTTGTTTTACAGTCGTGAATTAGTTCAATTTTATTTTTTTTGCCTATAATTTTTTCATTATAAAATTAAATACCTATAAATTATTAAAAATTTTAAGCTCTTATAAAATTACAAATTTGCTTTTTTCAGTTTGTTTATGATGGTTAAATGAATTAATCGCGTTTTGAGAAGCCTTACAAATTTATAATTATGTGCTCAGTACAAAATCTCTTAAATAAAATATCGCCAAAAATGTCCCCATGTAATATATTATGTCATTCAGCGGAGAACTAACGAGTGTCCGGTACCAAACAACAACCACGTCGTGCTTGGTTGGCTCGAAGCGACTCATTCAAACAAAACCTTCTATATCTTTTCATTTAGTTTTCCATTTGTGAAATTTTTCTTTTGTTATTTGCGTTTTTATAATTTTAACATAATTTTGTGGGCAACGAAAAAATATCAGAGGCGATCATTTAATTAGCTGTTAAACTTTTTTAAATTAAAAAAAAATATTATGGACAACTTTACGATTACAGTTGGACATTGTTTGAAACACTCAAAAAAATTGTAAAATATTTGTTGGTTCATGTTTTCTGGTAAGTTGTTTTATGTTTTGTATATTTCTTATGTTATGTTTTTTGTATCTTTTGTGTGTTCAATGTTTAGTATGCTTAGTATGTTATATGTTTTGTATGTTTTGTCTTTAATGCTTAAACAAAAAAATTAATTGAAATATTTTGAATTGTAAAGACTATATAGTGGTTTTTTAACGCTAAAATAAACATTTAGATCTGTCAGCAAAACAATCTTTCAAAAAAAATTTCAATGATAGTGCTTATTTTCATAACTTTTTCAAAGTTCAACGTCTCCTCCTTTTTTTGTTGAGTTCTTGGTGTTCCGACCGCTGTACTACATAGTTCAGTGGTACCAAGCGAAAAACTACCAAAACACATGTTTTATGTTTGCAAAATGTCTTGGCTTATTTGCGTCATGATTTTTTGTCTGTTTAATTTATGAGACCACTTCAAAAATTTATTAATTTTTTCAACGAAAGTTTTGATGTGATTTATGTTGATGTTTTTTATGATTATATCAATAATTTAACCTTTCCATCAAAATCGTTTGCAATTGACAACAAATATTGTAATAATTTTACTCAGCGCATGTAAAAATTAACTCTCATCAAACAGTCATTCGAAACATTTCTAATTAGAAGCAAATTTAACAAGAAGAAGCGCTTGCAAATGCACCATGTCCGACGCATAACGATGAGCTGGCTGGCAATGGGGTGGTTGGAGATTGTGTGCTTCTGCTGAGTATTTTAATTAGCACATCCATCACATTTAATTGCTGTCAGAATGCGTAGTTCTTGTATAAAATTGAAGGACGGTGCAAAAACGTAACTAAAAATTTTAGTCGGATTAATGAAAATATAAAATAAAGCTAGCATTTTGTCTTTGAATAAATATCAAAACAAACGAATGTTAGCCTGGTCTTCTTTTTACATGATGCATAGACCGACACATTAACTGGTAATGTTTGGAGAGAGCAGCACACAACTAAACAACGTGAAATCCTCTTCACTCGCTCATAAAGATGCAGCTGATGTAGTTGTCGTGCCACTTTCATTAATCAATATGCAGATGCATTAATGGCTGTGCAAAATGAAGGCAATTTTAATTAGAGGCGTTTCTTTTTCTATTTTGTTGTTGTTTGAACATCGCAGATTTAATGTGAAGCTTCTTAGAGACAAACCCGTTAGAATAAATGACGTAAGACATGCACACTAGGCAGATCTCTCATAAAAACCCCTTGACTGAAGTTTATACACTGTCACCATTTTACAAAATTGAACACTAAAATATCTCAATAGTTTTGTTAACTTTTTAAAGATAGTAATTTATTTCAATAAAATTTTAATTAATAAATATAATTTATTATGAGAGCGCTAGTCGAATAGAAAATGAGAACGAAATAAGCTTGGTTATAAAATCTTTTTATGTTGTTTAAAAATCCAAATTAAAGTTTTTGATTGTTTGATCAAGTTTTTTTTATTTAAGAGTAATACTTGAAAATGTCCTACATCAACCTTGAAAAAAATGTATCAATCGTTTCAACATCCAAAATTTTTGAGCCCATAACAAATCAGCTGTGCTAGCATGCCTCACAGCATGCTCTGGATGACTTCCAAAACAGCATTACTGCTACTACTACTACTACTACTACTACATGTCGTTCTAAAAAATCTGAAACCTCATAAATGATTATCTAATTTAAAAATCATGATTCAAACATTCATATAATGAAATTCCTAGACCAATAATCTTAATAGTTAGCAAAATTTGAAAGAATTAATTCAATTAGTCATTTAAGGTAAATAAGGCGTTCTTCCATTTGTCTAAAACTAACCACAATATTCTCACTTTTAAAATCAAGTTCAATCAACAATGTTACAAATCGTCTTTCTTATATTGGCATTCTTTCTGAAAATGTTATTATTAACTGCAAGAACACTATTTTGAATATCAAATAGCTTATCATTAGTGAATCTAAACACGGTTTTGTAAGAAATTATCCACAAATGTTAACGATATTTCTAATAGCTTTGTCTCAAAGCTCAACCACTTTAGACATTTATAGACATTAATGTTAATTTTTTATTTTAATAAAGCTTTTGATCTTACTAGTCATCAAATTTATTTTTCTGGACACAAACATAGGACGCGTGTAGATTACGAAAAATGTCTTAATTTTATCCTTTCACTTACAGCAAATTTAACTATGTAAACTTTTCAACCATTTGCTTTCATTTTTCTAGCAATTTGATTTGATGTGCTAAAACAAAACTACGATTTATAAGTTGGACCTCTGCTGTGAACGTTTTATAAAATTTCTGTTTTCCTCTAACTATTTTCATCACAGATGCATTTTAAAATAAAATCTACTCGGTATTGATGAATAAAACATTTTCAAGGCCTGAATTTTCATTTAAAAATCAATTTATGGTGACTCATATACCCTTAATACTGTTAGTGTTTGCTCGTTTTTCCATTTTTTCACATTTTATTAATGAGAATAAAAAACTTGTTTTTAAAAATGTTGTTAAATTATGATGTTTGTGTACGTGTTTATATTTCACTGTTACACTGTTACTTGTTATATTTTTTAAGCTATTTAGACTTCAAACCAATATTTCAACAACATTTTTCAGTCCAGATAGTTACATCCAACAACATCTTCTCTGCGAATCAAATGAAACAGGATGGCAAGGTCATGAAATATATTTACTCGATGAAAACTAAGAAATTTCGTAAAGTTGACTTTATAAAACAACCAACGCAACATATTTTCAACCAACAAAATTTGAAAAACAATGTAACGGAAAAGCCGTTCCAATTTGAGGAACCCAAAATGATTTTGAAAAGTGAAGAGCAGCTACTACCAAATATTCAACTCTCACTTTCATCAGGTTTGAAAGTTGAACTGACTGTCGAAGAAGCCGGGTTGAATTACGAAGATGATGTTGGCAAGAAGCAGCACACCGAACCAACTACTACATTCAACAAGTTCATCAGCCAAATTGACTCGAGCCTTATTTACGACACAATATATGAAGACGTTGACCACGAGAATGACAATGACAATAAATTTGTCCTCGATAATCCTAATACACCCAAGACTAATAACTCTTTCTTCAACATTATTGCTAAACAATGCAGGTTACTTTTTATTTTTTTGTGCTTATATTCATGTCATTCTCAATTATAAACGTAGCTCTAAATTATAGAAGCATATTAAAAGGTTTACCATCTCCGTATCAACGTTTTTGTGGCTGTCATTTTTCTGATCGTGTCTCCTCTAAAGCCTTGTATATACGTCGTAGTTTATATTCACGGGAGCGTTTTGTATCGCATTTCATTGCAAGACAACACTTGCACTATTTTATGCCACTGTCTTCGCACCAGGCAATTAGGGAATGTTCCTCCATGGAGTACTTTTCTTTCAACAGCGGGAACCAATACCGCTGTTTGTTTAACTCTCTTTTAAAATGCACATTTAATTTGTAAATAACGACATACAATTATTATTTATTTTAGTTTCACTTATTATTGATTAATTATCCAAAATATGAACTTCATGGAATGAGAATAAATTAAAGTCAGTTCTCTTTCCTTGCACATTTTTTCTTCCCGGGTAAATAAAATAAGTTGTTTTTTTTTATTATTATGATAAGAGGAGTGTTTTATACTAAAAATGCATTGTTCTGTTAGCAGACATTTGAGATAATTCCGATTTAAAAAAAATCATATTTTTTAATATTGTTAATAATTCAAATTTAAAATTAATTTAAATTTGAAAACGCTTTTACGAAAAAGTTAATTTACTATTTAAAGTAAAGTTTTTTACTTGAATTCAAAATTTAAATTGTTATTAAAAAAATACTTCATTCAACTACTAAAATTAATAGTTTTTTTTGTATATTCAAACAGCAAAAAATATCATAAAAACACTCAACCTAATAAGTTGACATCAATCACAAGTTGTTTCAACCAGAGGCTGGATGACTCCAATATTTTGTAAAAAAAAAAAAGAATAGAAGTCTGAAAGAACTATCAGAAAACTGGGCTGGTCATGAAAAAGGACTTGATTAATAAAAACCTCAAAAGGGAAATTTCCAACACCTCATTGAAGGTTCTGCAGAGAGCACTGAGGCATGCAAATTTCGCACGAACGCTATCATACATTCATTTATTATTCATTTCATGATTGGTTGGTAGAAAGAGCAAATAGTGTCAAAGATTTGAACGTAATTTCGAAATTTACAAGTTGACGTCCAAAACTACGTATTGTGGCTAGTAATGAAAACTATTATTTTTGTTTGACACTTTGAAAAAATAACAATGTATGACTCGTGCAAAGTTAAGTGACTCGTACATTATTATGAAATGTAAAAATAGTAATAGCGATTACAGATTAAAACACAACATAGAGGCTCAAAGTACATTTGAAAATTCAACAATCTAAATAATTTACTCATCTTTTTGATAAAAACAAGCACAATACAAACACATTTTAAGAAAAATTAAAAGTAACGAACGTTTTCGGAAATAACCAGAACTTCTCTGACGGCCAACAAAAATGAACAAACACACAAAGTGCAAAAAACAATATTGCCATACTCAAAAATTCAACTCGAGAATTCAATAGTCGTAGATTTAATTATTTTATTGCTGCAACGCTGATTACACTGAGTGCCAGCTGTTTTGTTGAGCAGACCTTTATTAACGGTGTTCTTACCAACCATGAATTGAATCCATTCTTGCATCTTCTATATAGTCATTATTTATATCTCAATTCAAAATTGCCATAGATTTTAAAATAGATTTATTTGTATTATTTGGTTTCTAGTTTGCATCTAGCATATGATCACGTGACGGGCGGGGTCTCGTAGCATTCCATCGAAGACACTTTAACAGCGAAACCAGACGATTTAACTAACCATTGCATCATATCGCCACCCCTGAAAACATTTTATATGACGCCGCGGTATATGACGAAAACAAAGATAACAAAAAAAGCATGACCAAAGATAAACAAATACAAGCAAAAAAGCAAACTTAATTATAAATAGTCATTTAACTTCAACATTTAAGACAGAACGTTACGAGATTAAGTGTAGCCGGGACTACGTCTAACGGACTCAAATGAGGCGGGATTAAATGTACGTACACCGAAACGATAGTACACGAAATGAACGTTCAGCAAATGGACAAAATCAATAATGAATTGACGTCATAAATTTCGCGAGGCTTGAAAACTAAAGTGTAATTAAAAGTTGTTGCGTTATAAAATTTTAATTTTGTATTTTTCAAAATGAATTTAAAAAATGGCAAACTTGAAATTAAATATTTTGAATCTATCGTTTAAGAGCCATAGCAAATTTTGGCACGGTAAAAACTGAGATAATATTTTTCTTACTTTGACATTCATTACGAAAAGTTCAAGATTACATCACAAGTGAAATTGACATACAACTGTCAGACTGTCATGTGTAAACGACGAACTAATTTTTACAAAATATTTTTTGCTTGGCCATACTTCGTGAAACATTATGGTCATTTTTAGTTAAGGTCACCCAGAGTATAGCAATCATTGCTAAGTTTGCATTTTTTTCTTTCAATTACTTTGTCTTTGTATGAAAAATAAATCTGTTCCAACAAAAATTATAATAAAAATGTAATTTAAGTTTATCGAAAATTTTTAAACAAATTGAAGCATTTCAATAATTTTAATCAGCATTTCACTTAACGAACATTAAAAACTTAATTTTTGTTTTTGGGCGAAACAAACTTCAAAACTTTCGATGGCCTTATTCTCCAAGTTCAAGCATGAATCTCTCATTTGAAAAATTGATTTCGACCGAAGGACGTTGATGCGATTTGATCACGGTTGACATTCACGCGAGAATTGTTCTTTATCAATTCATTTCCTTGTACACTTCATTCTGGTGAATAATTTCAATGATGCACTCAAGTTAAACATCGTAAAATAGAAAACAGACTTTAGTCAATGTAAAAGTTAGTAAGGATGAGTAAACAAACATCCCACCAGACGAACATCCCATAATCAAACAATTCGAAAATAGGGATGAACAAAATTTTAAATGTATTTCAATTTAATAGATCGCAATATCTGTTGCACGAAGAAATGCATGCAGCGGTGAGCCTAGCGTTCACGTATCAGTATAATGTAATTCCATTTTATGTTCGTAAGATCAGCTATCGCAAGAACTCTTACAACAAACTCACTCGTGATTCTTGTTTTCCTATGTATTTAGTAACATAATTGTCCAGTTTTTCTCTTTTTTTACTTCCAATATTTAATTTTGTAAACTTTCTTTCAAAACTTTACATTAAAAAAATTATGAGATCTTGTTGTTTCAAACAAGATGTTGAGTTATCAAATTTTAAACTAATGCAAGAGGGATATTTTCAAATTGTTTAAAACTATTTAGTATATCTATCATATATATTAATTAAACCTAAAAAAAACGGTTAACAATCGTCTTCTTGTTCTCACTTTTTAACTCACGTTAAACACTCTCAGGCTAAATCTGCGTTTGCTTTTCCGGGCCCTATTCTCTGAAACTCTCTGTCTCCTTTTCTAACTACTCCATCGCTTGCGAAGTTCAGAGCGGATTTCAAGACACATCAATTTGTTAAATTCATTGAGTTGGGAATTTTTACGATTAGTTCGTTACTTTACATTTGATGCAAAAATTAAAAATGTTAACAAAACAACTTTTAATTTTAATTAAAATAATCATTTAACATTTTTTATATGAAAAAAACATACACCTAAAATTACTTTCAAGTTTAAGTCTTATTATTCATTTATTACATTTTTGCCATTTTACAACTTTTATAATTTTAATTTTTAGAAAATAAAACACGTCCCTCAGTTCTTGAATGGTAAGTCTGTCTTTTCATAAAAGTTGTTTATACAGCGCTCGTAAACGTTTAAAAAATTTCAAAAAGTTTGTTTCACTTTTACTTGTTGACAGTATCATTCTGGCGAAATTAAAATTTAGGTAGTGTAAACAACTTTGTTGGGGCATAAATTAATAATTTAAGTATTTAATACCATGAATATAAAAGTTGGTGTTGGTAAATGTGAAAATTTAAGACCATTATAATAAAAGATTAATAGACGCAAAAATCACGTCAAATTTACTTTTAAACAATCAAAGTTAATCTGGATAAGACGCCTACCGTATAAAGAGAAACTGACAAAAACTATATCTGATTTCGGCTTGTGGCTGGATCAAAGTAGGCTAAAGTTGAATCAGACTAAGACTCAGTTTATGTTGGCTGGTACATGGCAACAAAAGTCAGCGGTTGAACCCTTGTCAATTAACATCAGTATGACTGATATAAGTTCCAGTAAAACGGTAACTAATTTTGGAATTGTGATGGGTCCACAAGTCAATCTATTGGTTATAAAGTGTATGTTCCAAATATCTCAGTTACGTCAAGTCAAAAAATCGGTAGATAGAAATACAATGATATTATTAGTACATGCTTTTATCAACTCTAAATTCGATTATTGTAACAGTATTCTATATGGTATAGCTGATAAATTGTTGTCTAAACTTCAGATGGTTCAGAACCAGGATGCTAGAATGATATGCCGCAAATAAAAATTGATCGTGCATCACCAATTCTTAAGAAGTTGCCTTGGCTGCGTGTTAAAAAAAGAATCATGTTCAAGTTGGGTGTAATGGTATTAAAAAGTTTGAATGGTCTGCCTCCAAAATATTTAGAAGATAAATGTATTAGAGTTATTTATATATGTGTACATACATACAGATTTTCAGTGCTTTGCCACAAAACCTTTCCACTGTCTGCCTCCCGTAAATTCACCCAATTCCTAAATTGAGTGAGAAATAATTATGCTAGAGATTGGAATCTGAAAACAGCAAAAAGAGATTTTGCAGTTGCTGGGCCTGTTTTTTGAAACAGCCTACCTATCGAATTACGTTTTTCTCGGTTATCATTAGCTGGGTTTAGAAAACGTTTAAAGACATACCTATTTGGTAACTCCTAGTGATCACGATCCTAGATGATGAGTTTGCTTTCAACATGCTACCTCTTAGCTATTAGCAATTTCTATAAGGAGAGCGCTGATAAGAAGCAATTATAGTTGGCGCTATATAAATTCAAAATTCAATTCAATATATATTGGAAGGACACCATATTTTATACAATATTTTATCAGTTCTAACAAATTGTTGGCATTAATCAATTTAAAGTTTGTCTTTTTAATTTTCCTTATTAAAATTTTCTGGAAATTTGGAAAATTGTTGAAAATAAAATTATTGTCTATGTTCATCATGAAAATTTAATAAAACTGCTGCTGTTATCCAGATTCATCATGCAGATAAGGCCTTATTTTGATTTTTTCATAAATCATCTTCAGTGCAGGTTTGGTTTATATAGTTTCTTTAAACAAAGCAATGTATTCTAGTAAGGAAAATTGAAAAGACAAACTTTAAATTGATTAATGTCAACAATTCGGTATATAGTATTGTATTTCTTATTTATTTGTATATATAAGCAATATATATATATATATATATATATATATATATATATATATATATATATATATATATATATATATGTTTGTTTGTCTACTTTTTTCCTTTAGTGGTTTGAAGTTTGGTTACTTTCAAAAAGTAATCTGATGAAATAATCGATTACTTTTTGGCGGCCTTTTATGTTCTCAAATTGCTTTTTGCAGAAAGCTATTGAACTATCGCGGAAAGTTCCAACGGTCGGTTTCAATGAGTTGAGTTGTGTTGAGGGTGCTGAAGAAACATGTAAGAGCACGATTCACCAGAGATTGTAATATTCAACAAATCTATCGGTGAAAAATATAGTTGATGATAATTTAAATAAAAACTTACATAACATTTGAATTATTATATAAAATTATATTAATTCTAAAAATGATAAATCTAACAGTAAATAATAACTTAGTGTTTTTATTATTTAGTGATTAATTAGACTTTTGGAAACCGGATGTGAAAGGAGCTAACAACGAAAAATAACAAAATAATTAACGTATTTGAATGATGGTGAGTTTTTACATAAAACAGTGAATGGATTAATACAAATTTGTAAAAGTTTGTCTGATTTGAATATTCGAGTCACCATGTTCATGCTTGTGAATAATTAACTGAAAGGCTCTTACAGTGAGATGTTGACAAGTTGTCATGCAGCATTTGACTGACATTTGAAACAAAAAACCTCTTCTTACTGTTTCAAATTTAAAAAAGTATAATTCTTTGTTGTGAATTTTTTCTATTTAATTTTTTCAACGATAAATATTTTTATACTCTATATTCTTCCCATAGGTTTTAAATGGGTCATTTACAATAAATAAATTTTGAAATTTAATGTTAATTTTAACTTTGGTAGGAGAAATAATTATTTTCCTTGCGGTCAGTCAACTGATGATTGCGTTGAGCACTGCAACAATTTCGTGCGTAAAATGTGAGGATGGTCACCTTAAAAAATATCTACGGAGTTAATAATTTTTTGGACATTTTTAATTTCTATCAAAATTAATATTAACGATCGAAAAAGTTAAAAATAGTAAAACCATTTTTCACGTTGAACTCGAATTTTTTAGAGAACTAGAAACTGGAAAAAATAATTTTAAAAATTTCAAGAGGACAATGTATACGGAAATAAATTGAGAAAGAGTTGAATGTAACATGGACAGGTATTGTCGGGCGAGATTTAAAAAACCCTTGAAAGCATAAACAATGAGGTCGAAAATGTAGAAAAACGTTGAATGCTCTTGATGAAATTAAACATAAAGAGTACACTTTTCACTGTTTTATTTATTGTAAAATAAGATGAAAATTTTAAATTTTTGGATAAAAGTCTCAACTTGTCAGACAGCGGTGTTTATAAACTGAGTTACTACGAAAAGGACATGTTAATATTTACTAAATTTAAATTAAACTAACAATGCGTTGTCGTGAGAATTTTTAAAACTTTAAAAGCTTTTTAGTTTTGAGTGTTCCAGTTAATGTTTCTTCCATAAATGTGTGCTGCTTTTTTCACTTCATGCAAACCAGCGTTACAAATAAATTAAACTCGTCATGATAAAGTTGAAGAGGCAAGCGTTTTACAAATGATTATCTCCATTTAACATGTGGCACAATGTGAGCCAACAAAATAAAGAAACAAAAAAAATAACTTAAACTTATTAAAAATTCTAATTCTGGTTATTAGAAACAACAATTTTGTCGAACGCACGATCAAAATAGCTTTTATATGTTCTGTTAAAACATTTTATAACAACAGACTGAGTAATTTTTATAAAGTAAATATTTCTTCCTTGGCTTTGCCAGCATATAGTCACCGATGATATCATCCATTTAATAAACTGCGTGATTTGTCACATTCATTGTTTCAATCAATAAAATCTCAAAGCGTATATATCATTTCATTTGCGGTAGACAGCGTTTGATGTTATGTAAAATTTTACGACAAAAATATGGGTGATCGTTTTTTATCTAATGGAAAAACAGTTATTCAGTTGACATTGACGTAGACTCAACATTAGGCACTGCACGTTGAAGCTGATATCTTCAAATATTAAATTGATCTAATTTTACTTATAAAAAATTTCGTTCATTCCTATTTTAACTTTTCATTGCGTTTCTTGGTGTTTCAACATATGCGTAATAATAAAAATAATTAAAAAGAATCGATATTTTCACAAATTTAAAAAATTCTGAAGCTTGAAACAATGAAAGCTATTTAAAATCCATGGACCAACGGACAAATATAAAGAATTGTATGCAACCTCTCTCTTGAAGAAGATAGAGACATACTTTGCATTTTGTAGACATGTGCTTGTTAATACATGGGCGGTTTATATACAACGTGGAAGCTGACGTAACTGCAGCATATTACTTAGGACCGCTCCGTAAGATGCATCCGAGCCTACGAGCCTCTCGAAAGCTTTCCTACAATCTGTCTGATGAATGCATCCAATTTACGCTTCAATAAGTTACTGTCAAAACGTTCATCAGTTAAACATCAGTTTGTCATAAATTTCTATATATATATATATATATATATATATATATATATATATATATATAAGACGGTTACTAGCAAATTGCGATAAATGTCATCAACAATCAACTCGTCAATCTGAAGACATAGTCAACCGGATAAATAAATAAGAAACTTGGCTAATTAATTGTAAAGCAGAATAATAATAAAAACGGACGACGCAAGGGTGTAATGGTTAAGAAGCCTGGCGCTGATGATGCAGTGACCGGGCTCGACAGCAAAGAGATCTCAGGCTATCACGAACATAGTTTGTGGTGCATTAATTCACGTGTATTCCCATACATTGTGTGTTTGATGCTGACCAATCTGGAGAACACTACAAAAAAATACTCTACGAGAAATGTTTTGGGAATTTAAATTAATAAAAATATATATGCAATTATTGATAAATTTACACAAATTTATTTGTATTAAGTGTTGTTTTTAATGACAGTTGTAACATTAGTTTTAATGATTTTCTTCATTTTCTCAACTTGTTTAAAAGATGTCGTTGCTTGATTTTCTAATAAAGTATTACATTAGTCCTGTCGGATCTACTGTTGTTGTTGATGTCATTGCTTTGTTGTTCTTCCTTTGATTGTAAGATTTTGTTAATTGCAAATTTTTCGTGACCGTTGTTAATCAGCAGGTTAGTGATTCGTTGTAGTTGCAGTTTTCCATCGTTTGGAGAAGGCCTGCTTGAATAACGAAGGGTGTTGTGTTGCTATTGAAGTATGTTTCGCAACATTTGCTTTTACCATTTAAACACAAGCCTCGATGCACGTACAGTAAGGTGTTATAACAATAAAGGACCTATAAAACTTAGAATTTTAACTCTATGTATATACACACTTGTATTTAGAACTAGAACACTAAGGATGGTAGAAACTTCCAAAAAAGTTTTATATTTAATGTAATTCAAATATTGTTAAAATGAGTAAAGATTTTGTTTTTGAATTAAATAAATTAGAAAACAAACAACATCAACACTGCTTATAGTACAATATAGAAAACATTTCACCAGATACTAGAACAAACAATTGTAGTCTTTAAAATGATTAAGTTTTAAAACGTAATCACGTTATATATGAATAAAGCTGCCCTCTTGACGGCTCTGCGCGACAACATGACTCGTATATCCGGATTACCTCAACTTCACTAACCCGGCGTCTCACAATACACAAGCAGAGTGGCGCCATCAAATTTTATTTGGATTTAACACACTCAATCACTACAATTTGTAAAATGTGTCCTGGTTTTCCATAGCCAAAACAAACTTTTTCACCCCTGACCTAAGAAACCGTTGGCCTTACCCCATGGTCTGCAAGAACGTCAAGCGATTGACGAAGAGATTTCATTTGCCGCTCCACTGCAGGATGAATCCTGTCTTCCGTTGTATCCTGCATGTTCCTAACCTTTGGGATAAACTTGTAGAATGAATTAACTAAATTCTTTGAAACTTCAAGGCGCTGTGCAATTTTTAACGAATCATCAATATTTCTCGGTTCCCTCTCTCTAACTTTTAATTTTAAATCGGTGTCATTGATAGCAGATAAAAAACATCTCTCGTCAAATGTATCGCCAACTTTGACTGTTCGCCCGGGTAGGCTAACGACGTTAATTTTTGTACTGTTTGTGATAATTCACGCAGTGACTCACCCGGTTTGCGTCGAAGAGTCTGCAACTCATACTTATACGACTCCTCGTGACCACTAGTTCTATAACGGTTTTCTAACTTTGCTACTAGCTCTTGATAACCCAGTCCTGCTAAGTCCCAAAGAACTTTTGCAGCTTCACCTGTTAGCGAACAAGATAAATACACTTTCATGTCATCTCCAGACTCTATTGGTTATACCTAGCACATATCTCAAACTTTTTAAAAACGGTTTGGAGACACCCCGTGACATCAAACCTGCCTGGTTTCAACAGTTCATGATATCGAACCAACCTGTGACGTTCGGTATTTACATTCGGCTGACGATGCAGTGACTCCCCATGGTCGCCGGACGAAGAACTGTGTTCGACTTCTTCATCCTCTTGAACCATTCTGCACCTACTCCTAGAGTTTAAAATATTATCACGTTTTTGAATAATAGACGGTTTTTGTGCTGGCGTCGGCTTATAAATATGTGAAACATGTTCTGGAACCTGTGAAACATGTTCTGGCACGGATCCCGCTGATTTATAACTAAAAACGTTCTGCGCATAGTTAAGTCCTTCACTCAAAAATCCTGGTGAAGTTTTACAAACAATTGTCCCTGGTGCTGACTTTTGGCCTACCTGATACCTGGAATTTACAATATTTTCCGTATAACCAGCCCTGTCACTTAACAAATTTGAGAAAGTTTCGTTACGGCCCCTATCGTTCCTGTCACCTAAAAATTAAGAATTAGAAATTTCACTTCGGTCACTGCCGCATCAGTCACCTAAAAATTTGAGAAAAACAATTTTACTTTTACCGGTGATATTTTCGTCAACTAAAAACTGACGAGGATTATCACCTTGACTCCTGGTATACCTGTCACCTAAAAATTCGAAAGAAAACATCTTATTTTGACCTGCTATGTACTCGTCACCTAAAATTTGACGAGCAACATCGTCCTGGTTTCTGCTCTCCCTGTCACCTAAAACTTATGAAGAAGAGGCCCCACGTTGGGCGCCAATTGTGAAATTTTGCCTCGCGGCGGAATCTTTTTTTGGTTCGAATATCAGCAAACGCCCCAGCCAGCCTAGGCAGTCTCGCTTTTGGCCGGGACTCGCCTCCTCACAAATTTTTAATAGAAATTATTATTTGAAGTGCTTTCGCGCCCTGTTTGCCAGTCGGTCAATCCGGCCCTGCTAACCGCTGACAAGTCTTCTTCGCACATGTTACTATATGTTGAACAAAACAAACAAAAGATAACTGAAATAAATTTATTACGGGCAAGAACGAAAATAAACTTACTCTACAAAATAAATGTTTTTCAAATGTTCCAAATTTAACAATAATTAAATAATTAAATTAAAACAGCAACAGTAACTAAATTCAAAAAAATAAACCCGCAGAACAACCTCACTAAATACAAAGTAAATGGCCAACACCTAACACGCCAGGAAGCGAACTACCACAAAGCACTTTACCAAAAACTAACTCGTAAACTAACTTCAAAAAACCAATTGTCTGTCAACTCTCTCATCTCCCCAAAAAACAATTGTCCAAAATACTTATATATTAATTCCCACGAGCAACCATACACTCTCAAATATACTCACTATACTCTCGCCATACATTTCACATTAAATCCATTCACATAACACTCTACCAACATGCATGCAAAACCAGTTCATCATACAACGTTTTACCAGCCTGCATAACAGACCACTCCATGCAACAAGCGCGCCAAACCAACCAACGCACACACATAAAACATTCGCGCGCCAAATAAACCTCATATATATATATATATATATATATATATATATATATATATATATATATATATATATATATATAATTATTCAAAACAAAACCACTTATTCAAAACAAAACCACTATATGTGTGTTTTGTGTGTGTGTGTTGGAATAGTCTTCCGCCGGCGTTGGTGAGTGTATTATTTGGACTTTTATTGGAATTATTTAAGAAAGATTTGAAAAAATTTTTATTTTCTGTTAAAATGTAAAAATTGTGATTTTTGAATCTCTAGATTGGTCACATGCGTACGTTT